TTTTATCTTCTTTTCCTCCATATTTTGGTTTTTACAACAGTCCACTCTATTGTATGAATTTAGCACTCTTGCCTGAGCAGCACAACTTGAATGATTGATCGACACTTTTCACAGTCGTATGATGAAAATTTTTGCAGTATTTTTTGGTTTCTTCAGGAGCCTTATTGTTTATACTTTTGACATAACTCCACTAGTGTCTTCTATCTATGTTTTACTTTCCTTTGTAACCCCTTTTGTTGACGAATTAACTAGAGGCCCATAATATGCTCAGTTTGCTCAGCGAATAATTATTAGGGTAGGGTCGATAGTATGTACAGAATAAAAAAGGGCGCCACTGAATTTGTAAAAATAAATAACTAAATCATTTACGAAGAATATTGGAGTGTGAAAATTCAGAAACAGACTTAAAAAAATAATTAGCCAAAATTAATTGATATTTCTGAAAAAAAAAAAAATCATGGTTGAGTTGTATACAACTCAACCAAATCTTAATAAAGGTGAAACCAATAAAACAACCAAGTAATTTTCAAATTAAATTAGTTTATATTTCCACGGTAATATCAGCTTCACAGTGAGGAGAATAAAAGTCAGTTAAGCAGTAAAATTTCAAGATATGAAACTGCTGGTTGTTGGGAAAACACTCTAAATAAAATCAATGAATAAAGGTTCCATCAAACTCAAAAAAAATATACCAGAATATCAGAATATACATAGATTGTTGGTCATATCATCAACTTGAGCAATAAATAGAAACATGAGAGCTTCAAGTTCCCAAAAAATTGTTATGTTTTCTGGATAGGTATGATCAGCCTCTACTTTAAAATAAATTCACTAAAATCAAATTAAAACTGTATGACATCAAAGGTAAGGTTAAACGGTAGAAGTATACAGAAAATATATCAGAAATCCTCAAGTATACACCGTGATTTACGTAGCCCGTGCGTTAGAAGTTGTCCAGTTTGCAGGTGCATAAGTAGAATTAGCATCTAATCCACCTGCAAGTTAATGCGTACGTTAATCACCCTGTATAAGTAGTAAAACCCAGGTGTAAAATTTAACAATTTTTGACGATGTAATAACTTAACGACTTGATAACTTCAAATTTAAAACATATTGTCCAACTTTGACTTCAATTCAGATTAATAAAATATAGATTTATCAAACATGGCAGTACTAAAAATTACCAAAGATATAAAATAATAAATTTAATAAATCGAAAATCGGAAATTATCCAACAATCACTCCAGTGTCACAAAGTTGAAATTAAAGTTTCAAATATTGAAATCTGATGTCAGTAAGAATTAAAAAGGTTATCGTTTCTGATCATAAAAGAATTTTCATTGAGAAATAAAAAAAAAAAATAGGTAAAAGTTAATAATAAAACTCTATACAAGCCTCAGTGCGGTAACAGGTCACTTTCTGTTACTCGGTGATGAAAGTAACAGAATGAATTGAATCAAAGTATGTAGATAGTGGCTAGAAGTTCACTGTCTTCGTCAAATGTTGAGGGACAGATATCCACACGTGAGGAAATTGATGCCCAAGCTTTAGCGATTTAGCCAAACGATCTGCCTGTGAAAATCGGGTCCACGAAAATAGGGCCTCGTTGGAAATGGGGGCTCCTCACGAGAGGGTTCGATATTCAAACTCAAATAAAACGAAAATCACAAGACTTTCGATATAAAATTTTTTGGTTACTAACGAAACATTGCCATACGCAACTTTATTTCGTTAAACCAGTGCGTAATGGCCGATAAGGTATTTCTTTCCGTGAGCACGGGAATTCATATTGGACTTGAGAAGATGGCGGTTCCCAGGTTAGGATCAACCTTTCGGGTCAAACGACAAAATTTAAAAGGTCCGAAGGAAACGGGAATATAATCTAAACAAAATCAAAGAGCAACAAAATGTTCATAAGAGCAACAATTTTGCTATTTGGGGATGGATTAATCCCTATTTCAAGCATAGTCGCGTTAATCAAAATCAAAGCAAAACCGTTCTACACAAACTTCATACATCGACATCTGAGGGTATTGAGCAAGAGATCAATGAACGCTAAAGTTTCATAAAGAAGACTCGATGATGTGACGAGCCGCTTGCGACTGGAAATGAGAAAGTGAAGAGGATAATAGAAATCAAACGATGAGAACACTAATCGAGAAGACGGTGGAATACAATATACCTTTATGGCTAGCATTCATTGATTTTAGAAAGGCTTTCGACACGGTGGAAATATGGGCACTACAGCAAGCCCGGAAACACGCCAGAATAGACCACAGATACGCAAACCTAATCAACAACATTTACCGTAACGCGACTTTACAAATCCAGCTACACGAAAAGTCCGACAAAGTTGCAATTAAAAGGGGAGTGCACCAAGGAGACCCTATGTCACCCAAGCTTTTCACACTAGTTCTGGAAGAAGCACTAAGAACAATCGACCTCCAAAACAGAGGCATTAATATCAATGGGGAAAAACTCAACCACCTCATGTTTGCCGACGACATAGTAGTGATAGCCGGAAGTAGAGAAGAACTGGCCACACTTATCGAGGACATCTACAAGGCCACGAAGCGCATAGGCCTAGAAATCAACTTTGAAAAACGAAGTACATGACATCAAACGTAGAGGACGAACGAGAAATTACCCTAGGAGACAACAGAATCGAAAAAGTAACTACATACAAATACCTAGGACAAACACTAACTACAGGCAAGGCTAACCAAGAACTCGAAATAAACGAGTGAATACGGCAAACCTGGGCGGCATATGCCAAAATAAAAGACATCTGGAATATGGACATACCCCTAAACCTCAAAACCGAATTATACAATCAGTGTATCCTACCAGTAACGGCTTACGGGTCACAAACTTGGACTTTTACGAAAGCTATACTTGACAAACTTGAAGTAAACCAGAGAGCTATTGAGAGGAGAATACTTGGGATATCATTAAGGGATAGGAAAACAAATGAATGGATCAGGAGAAAAACAAAGGTGCACGATGTCGTACAACGCGCCGCCGCTCAGAAATGGGACTGGGCAGGACACGTCGCAAGAGACCAGGATAAGTGGAGTGGTAAACTAATTCGATGGAGACCATGGAGCAACAGAAGGAGCACAGGAAGACCGCAAAGGAGATGGAGCGACGATTTGAAACGAGCGGCAGGACTGAACTGGTACCAGGTGGTACAAAACCGCGACAACTGGCAAAATAATAGGGAGGCTTATACCCAAAGGGTAGAAAACAGCTAAATAAAAAAAAAAAAATTAGAAATCTGTTCTTAAAACTACTGGCCAGAAGCTTCAACACCTTTCGCTAGCTCGTACTAAGCTTTGATTTAAAAAAAATAGTAAAAAATTCCCCTCAGAAACTCGAACATGGAAATATATCCCGATACTCTAAGGTTCAGATTAAGCGTGGACCCGGAATTATTCCTGAAAATTGCATAGCAGAGCTGTGGAATAAAATAATATTGTCCTATAACTTTCACCGTAGAGATGAAACTGACGCCGAATAAGAGATATAAGGAGGTGAAAGAACAAGAATAAATGACAGATGAAAAACTTGTTGATGTTCATTTTCAATTTCAGCGGCTCGAGTATCGAATAAAGTATTTCATTGAGTATAATCACTCTTCTTTGATATTAAAAAAAACAGAGCCAAAAAATAATTCAAAAATGCAGCATAAATAATCAACGTCTTTAAATGACCTATTAAAAACAGCTATGAGGCTCTTTATCGTCTGCTTAATCACACTGCCATTTTTCTCTTTTAGCTCCGCTGTAAATTAAGTATAAAACATTAAAACGAGGAAATTTATATGCGCTTTCGGAGGACGAAATTATTTTAAAATTGAACACAAGTTAAGTGCCGAAGTCATAAAAGAAAATTATTCTGGAAATGAATTTCTTTTGTGCGTTGGAAAAACAAGTGGGTTTTTATTTAAATTAATTTATATTTCATATAAATCAACTCTGATGCTTGAACTTACAACGAATTCTAATTCAGACATGGCAGCAGACAAAGGGAACCTTAATAGAAAAGTTTTTAACACATGATAAAGTAATTTGCGGCTAATTTCATTGTGGAACTTGGAAACTGATTTGTCTAAGTTATTAACAAGTTTAAAGGAGAAGCAGTTTCAGACGTAGACCAGGTTTCAACTTATAGGGTGGTGCCTTTGCACTAGAAAATTAAATTTCAAAGACTTGGATTGTTGTTGTCCAAATTATACCACGAATAAAATAATTTGGATGTTCATAGAGTTTTCTATTTTACTCTTGAATTGGAGGTGCTGGCTGACTGTAGGAGAATTTGCCTGAAGTTTACGGTTTTGGAATCCCCTAGGCCTACTTGATTGACCTCTAAAATATTTTATCAAGTTTTTAGTATTAAGACAATATTAAACCTATAGATCCCAAAATACCCATAATTACATTTAAATGTCTTTAGGTTTATAAGTTTACTAATCATCATTAAATATTAAATCAATTTCCTACAATTTTTCTCGAATTAAACTTCCGGAGTAGTAGGCAATTACCAATTCTTTCCCAACTATTTCAAAAAGTACTAAGTTAAATTATTAAAACTTTAAATTAGATCGTGTCAGTTCCCGAGAGTAATCGTGAGAATCATGATTTTTAGAAACTATATAAGTTATTGTAGATAAGTTGAGTGATTATTTTATGCCAATTATCGGCTTCCTCCGCCTTAGTTCCTAATACCCTGCATAAGGCAACAACAATCAATACACTTAATCAACCTTATCCAAGCAAAACGTTCCGGGCTTCTAGGATACAACAATGCAGCCATATTCGATGCAACATATTATAACAACAATGCCCTTTGTATCAAATTCCATTACCCAAACTATTGCTAGTCTATTTCCAAGATATTTCTCGTATTGTTGTCTAGGTTACGATGAAATGGATATGATTGCTCGAAAACTTTTTGTCCGAATGAATTTTCCGATATTGTTTGTATAAAATAAAACTTACCTCCTCTCACTTCACAGGTAAGAACCAAGTCGGAACCTTCTTCCAGAGGACCGACAACTCCAGTAACGTCACGTCCCATCTTATCGTATAGCAACAGTTGATGAGGGGGAACTGGAAAAAAATTAAATTGATCATGTTTATGAATAAGGCCTCCGCTGCCGAAAGCGGCACACATTTATTATAACGAGGGTTGCAGCAGTCGGCAACGTTAGACGCTTTCGAAACTTTAGAACTAACATATATTCAATCAATATTGTATATATAAAAGAAGGAAGTGTTTTTAAATAAAAAAGTGAGCAATCTAATATTGTTATTAAGATTACGCCTGACTTATCTTTGAGGTAAATTCGTGTCGGCATTTTTTTTTGGTACCTTACTCGAGGGAATTCAAACTACAATCCTACCTATTTAACCATAGCGCGTGAGATTATTTGAATCCTGGTCCTAGGAAAAGTTATTACTATTCATAGATCGTGAATTAAAAAAGTTTAAAAATATCTGATCATTATCTTTAGCAAATTCTTTCAGGAACGTTTCATGTCTTAGGAGGTTTTTGTTAATGAAAAAGATAATTTAAATGGGTTTGATGTTTTGCCAAAAATTTATCTACGAAGTATGAGGATGCAATTATTATGTTTGAATTATTAGTGGACTGTATTGCGATTATTGCGTCCTTATTACACGAAAAAATGAGAAATTAAGTGAGGTCATGCAAAAAGGTTTTGTCGCTTACTTAATACCCTGGAAGGCTTAAACGCACGATGAATTGTTCAAACGGCGAAATATGTACGATAAAACTCAATGGTCGCGAAAATCTTTTGGGAACTGCCGAAAAATGTAGTGGGTTCGCACCAAGCCGGAACTGTCGTATCAATGGTACTGTCGGTACTGCTCTACCCTTTTCGCTAGGTATTTCTAGGAGGCGCACGCTGCGCTTCTATTCTTCAGCGATATATGGAACGCAAAATGCATGCCTATATTATACAGGTTCAAATTTGACCCACAAAAAAGCTAACGCGAAATCATTGCATCAACATTACCGGCCCCGGAAAAACAATGAGGTTTTTCGAGAACCAAACAAAAAAAAATTAATTTAAGTAAACAAGATGCAACTGCATTACGCATGTTTGCATGTAAATATCCCATTCCAATTTAAAAAATATGTAAATATGTAATAGTTGGCAGAGGGCACAACTTGGTTATCGGTCGTTTGAGATTCGAACCGGAAGAGGTCTTCACAGTCACCACGCCATAGTCCACTGAGTGGCCGGCCTGTTTTCATCTCTGATAACAACCAATGCATTTAATTTTACTGCATCATTGTTGATCGTCCACTTCGATCGTTGCTGGAGGGAGTTTAGGTATTCCAAGTGCCATCTCTTCCAAAAATCGCAATGAAGTCTTTGAAGGAGCTGCCATCTGGATAACGTGTTGAGTTTGTGATGAGAAAAGTCCCAATTAGGGACGGAATTTAAGGGTACGATAGACAAAAAATGACCAGGAGTCAACGGCAAAAGATCATTCGGATCATCGCTCTGAGCGCAAATGGGGTTTAGCAGACTTTCTACTTGAATTAATAGGGTGTTCAACTCTTCATAAGTCAGCCTCTGCTCACCGACAACGCGAACCAAATGGGTTTTCAATGACTTTACTCCTGCTTCAGCGAGTCCGGTGAAATTGGGACCACCAGGTGGGCTGAAACGCCATAAAATCGAAAGGTTTTCCGATGCCTCTTTGGCAATTTGCAAGAGTTGATTGTAAGCTCCAGTAAAATTGGTTCCATTGTCGGACCAAATTTCTGTAATACGGCCCTTGCGAGCAGCGAAACGACGAAGACAAGCCAAAAAAGCATCCGACGTCAAATCCGAAGCTAATTCAAAATGAATTGCCTTGGTGGAGGAGCAAACGAAAACGCAAGCATATGATTTCAGGGTTCTTGCTCCACGAACTCTACTCATGGCGATGTAAAAAGGACCACAAAAGTCAATAAAAACGTGCGAAAAGGCTTTGAGTTGAGATATTCTACAAGCTGGAAGGTCTCCCATATAAGGCGTGTAGGGTTTGGGCTTAGCTCGAAAGCATGTTATGCAACGAGAAACGCAGCGATTAATGGCACGCCGGGCAGACAGTATCCAACATTTTTGCAAAATCAAATGGTGCAAAGTTTTTAGTCCAGGATGTAAGTGTGTTCGGTGTGTGTCTTCGATAATTAGTTCAACTAATCTATGAGCACGGGGTAATAAAATGGGGAATTTTTGGTCGAAGCTAAGTGGAGAATGCTTGAGGCGACTGCCCACTCGAAGATGACCCGTCTCATCCACAAAGGGTTCCAGTTTTCGAAGAGGTTTAGGTAATGTTTTGTTAGTCTCAATAATTTTTAGAACGTCTGAAAAACATTCGCGTTGAACATGTTTAACTAATAACAGGAACGCAGAATGAAGCTCGCCTTCAGAGGGCACGACGTTTGTCGGTATATGATCCGGTTGGTTGAAGCGATAAAAACGACGACAATAAGCTACAATTCGAAGGATTTTTTGAAGGGAAGAATACATTTGCAACAGTTTATCTAATGGATTAACCTCCAAGAGATTTCCCTCTACACTAAGCGCACAGGTTAAGGATTTCTCCTCAGGAAGAGGTTCATCCGGTTTTAACTCGGTATTATCCAGACGACTTTCCCAATATTCTCGAGGCAAGGAAAACCAATCTGGACCCTGAGTCCACAGAGTATGCTGCAAAAACTCTTTTGGCATGAGCCCACGACTGGCGCAATTAGCAGGGTTTTGTTCAGACCTTATATGTCTTTATTGAGCCTGCGGGATGGTTTCTTGAATGTGATGCACTCTGTTCGCTACAACAGTTTTCCAACGAGAGGGTGAAGATGCTAGCCAGGCGAGGATAATTTGGGAATCAGACCAAGCTAACGTTTCATCAATCGTCAGAATAGGTGAATAAGTGGTTTGGATAAAGGCGAGCAAATCACTGAGGATGAGAGCACCGGATAGTTCTAATCGGGGAACAGTGAGGGTTTTGACGGGGGCAACCCCGGATTTGGCGCATACTAAGTTGACGCAAATTGCACCGGAAGGGGTTTCGACCCGTAGGTGCGCGGCGGCAGCATAGCCGATTTCCGAGGCATCACAGAAGCCGTGCAATTCACGACGGACGACCTCGAAAGGGGTTACCTGTCTAGGCAAACAAAAAGTTGATAATTCCGGTAGTTCTTCCTTAAACTTTGTCCATTCGTCAACTATAGCTTGAGACGGTTTCTCGTCCCAAGTTAAATTAAGCTTCCAAAGTCTCTGAATTAAATGTTTAGCTAATAAAGACACAGGGACCAAAAAACACAAAGGGTCGAAAATTCGGGCAATTTCCTGAAGTATACTACGTTTTGTGCAACTCTTCTCCAATGGTAGGCAGCTATACGAAAAAGTGTCCGAGATGGGATTCCATTGGAGTCCCAAAACTTTGATGAAAGTGGGTTCATCCTTGTCGAAAGATAAAGACATTTGACGATCACTGTCTGGTAACTTGGATAACAGAGCAGCATGGTTACTAGCCCACTTTCTAAGTTCAAATCCTCCTTTGCTTAACAAAGCAATGAGGTCCTGTTGAAGTTTCAAGGCGGAGGGAACAGAATAACTCCCTGAGATTATGTCATCTACATAAATTTCGTTCTCAACGATTTTAGACGCCTCAGGAAAATTGCGACGTTCTCGAATTGCCAACTCTTTTAAGGTGCGAATACCTAAGTAGGCGGAGCTTTTTATTCCGTAAACTAATGTATTCAAAATATATTCACGAAGAGGATCTTCTGGAGAGAATCTCCACAGGATTCTTTGGAAATCCCGCTGGGCAGGGTGCAGCAATATTTGACGGTACATTTGTTTGATATCAGCCATAAAGACGTTATTGTGAATTCAAAATGATAATAGAATAGTGGCTATGTCCTTTTGCAATTTGGGACCGGGCAATAATGCGTCATTCAGCGATAACCCCGCGGAAGTGGGATTGGAGGCGTTGAAAACGACTCTTAATTTGGTTGTGCAGCTATCAGGTTTTAGCACACAATGATGAGGAATGTACTATTTACCAACTTTATTTTCAGTTACAGGGGAGAGACTCATGTGATGAGTATCAAGATAATCGCGTATGAAATTCACGTACATTGAGCGAAGATCGGTATTTTTGGCTAGGCGCTTTTCTGACGACAAGAAACTACGATAAGCAAATGAGTAGGAATGTCCTAAGTGAGGATTCGAGCACTTAAAGGGCAGAGAGACCGTGAATCGACCAGTATTGTCGCGATAAGTGGACTCAGAGAAAACGTTTTCGCAGTGTTCATCATCGGGGGATGTAGGAAGAGAGTGCGTAATGTTATCAATCTCCCAAAACCTTTGAAGGCAAGTATCCAAATCACTCGAAGTCCAATAAGATGAGATAGCAGGCACATTATTCGACGAATTCTGCACTTTCCCAATCAAAATCCAACCAAAGATAGTTTCTAGAGTGGAGGGCTGACCATTTGTACCTGGAATCCGCCCGGAAAGTAAAATTTGGGGGACTAGCTCTGCCCCAATCAAAACGTCAATCGCTCCAGGAACTTGACACGTTTTATCCGCTAAATTGAGATGCTTGATATGATCCCAGCGACTGCCGCTGAGGGGACTGGAGGGCATGTCAGTGCACAGATTGGGTAAGACGATGGCCTCGAACGAAAAGACGGGAGTCGACAAGTTTTGAGGTTTTATGCGGCAATGAGTCATACCATTGGAGGTTTGCGAACGCATCTGATTTAAGCCAAGAATAGGTATATTATATCTGCGCCGTAGTAATCCTAATTGCCGAATACATTCTTCTGAAATGAAGCTAGCTTGGCTAGCGGAATTGATAGGAATGCGAATAGGCAGTTAATGTCCGGTAGAGTCCTGAATGTCAACCATCGCGGTACCTAGTAGGACGGTGGAGGTAGCGCAGTTTGTGGCATAGCTCAATGATGCGTTGGCGGAAAGTCCATCACTCTGACAGTTATCTCCAGATGACGATTGCGAATTATCTGGGGGATCCCGACAAGAAGAGGGAGTTCCTTGACGGGACATGTGCAACAAAGT